ATTTCTAAGGATTTGTTTCTTTAGCTTGAGTAAACAGTCGTTGAGTATTTTATGTTTCTTCTTCTTCTTCTTCTTCTTTAAGTCCTCTTTTACCGCTTCAAGTGTCAAGGGAGATCAAAGGTCCTGCTTCATTCTTTTCTTGCTGCTTCGACCAAAAGCACATCATGGTACTGTAGAGTCTCTCTGATGTTATTCTTCCATTTTGTTCTTGGTCTACCTCTTGCTCTAAGTCCCTCGGCTTTTTTGGTATATGCCTTGAATGGTATAGCATCAGAAGGCATTCTCTTCAAGTGGGCAAAACATTTGATCTGCTGTCTTTCTGTGTATTGTATACACATGGCAATATTTACACTAGCGATGCATTTAAATATTTTTGTTGATGGTCTAATGGCTGACAACGAGCCGTTTTATCAGGTTTAAAATTATAGGACTAGAGACAATGGTTAAAAAAGATAAAGCATCATTTACCATGTTTTGGGCATATAGGGCTGGTGCTATATTTTATAGACCAGTCTGCACTCAGTGGGTGACGTTTTCAACATCACACCGGTCGCCATTACTTCAGCTTAATTTACGTATGCATAGCGTATATCGGTCAAGGTAATTTTTTCTATACAACGAAGATCTCATGTCTCATGTCTGTATGTGAGTTTTTCTTATGCTTCTGCTTCTTCTTCTTCTTGTTTTTCTTCTTCTTCTTCTTCTTCTTGTTTTTCTTCTTGTTTTTCTTCTTCTTCTTTTTTTTTCTCCTTTTTCTTCTTTTTCTTGTTTTTCTTTTTCTTCTTCTTCTTCTTCTTCTTCTTCTTCTTCTTCTTCTTCTTCTTCTTCTTCTTCTTCTTCTTCTTCTTCTTCTTCTTCTTCTTCTTCTTCTTCTTCTTCTTCTTCTTCTTTTTTTTTTTTTTTTTTTTTTTTTTTTTTCTTCTTCTTCTTCTGCTGCTACTGCTGCTGCTGCTGCTGCTACTACTGCCGCCGCCACCGTCTCTTTCTTCTGAATGAAACCATAAGCTGGTAAATAAAATCACTGCATCGGAGACATAGCCACGCCTTCTTAGTTTCCTTGCCCAGCAGCCATCAAAGGTTCCCATACTTATGTTTCCATTAGCAGACGAATTGTCCCGTGCTTCTTCTTTTTCTAATCAAGATTCAGATGGACACGTCTTAGTTAGAATAACATCTCTTACAATTCTGTATGTTTACTCAGGAACGATAAGTTCAGGGCTAAATGTCGCCCTCAGTTATATATTTACATAACTCATTTTTTGCCTAGCCAGCAGCCAGACTGGAGACATTTAGAGCTTTGTAGTTCCCGTGGGTAATTTGTGAAACAAGTGCTCCACCAAGTTACAATGTCCGCTCTCATTCGCAGATGCGTTTCTCGTTCGTGCTCTTCCGATTGTTTTAATCTCGTTTGTTGCGAGTTTGAATATTCCTTCTTTAGGCTTTTATTTAAAACGTTTTCGTTTCCCGGTGCGCTAGCTCAGTTGGTTAAGCCTGACAGCGTGGCTGTGACGAACTCCTTGTGGTCCGGGTTCACGCCCGGGAGTAGGCAGAAAAGCCACAAATCTCCCACACGAAGGGTTGCGATATCCATAGTACAGAGCCAAAGGGTTTACTATTCATGTTTTCTAGATCTTAAACCAAATAAATTATTGTTACTCTCTAACAGATTTCTCGAATTAACTTATAATTGATTATACTTCATTTTATGATTTCATTTGAATATGTATGCCTTCATGCGAAAAACGACTAACTGTGTTAACAAGATATTTCTACCTGCGTTTTTAATTTAATGTCTGGCGCTCATAGGTACAGCAGGAAAAAGTTCCCCGTGTGGATTTCACCACCAGGACATCACACAAGCGATAAACAGCCGGTGACACAAAGTGCCACCATGCGGATCAGGATCACCTGTGGAGAAGTCCCAGAAACCCCTTTCAGCCGTTATGCCATATTTATGGCCCGGCTATAATCATGGCTCCCTGGCAAAAGCCAGGGTGGGGTTTCAAAAAAACTAAAAATTGCATCCCACAAGGGGATGACGAGATTATACTAATACTGTTACTGTTGCCGTATCCGAAAGTTAGCAATACAAGTAAGATTTGTCTGTAAGATTTTCCTCGATGATAACTGAAACATTCTGAAACAGTTTTTTTTTTGATCTATCGTATTTCAAGAAGGGAGTGGGGAACAGTTTGAGCACGTGGTCTGGGTTTCTTTTTTGCCAGGCCTACTGGCTAAGGTGTAGTTGTGCCGAGTTTAACGAATAGGATTTTATTGTTTGTGCATATTTATTTACTCCCTGCTAGTGACATTCCATACTTTAATGAGACAGTTTAGGCCAAAGAAGCACCTCTGTTTTCAATGGATGTAGATAACAACAATTCAAGGATGGATTATTTCCCGATGGATGATTACCGTATAGACTTTGGATGCGTGCAGTTCCGGTTCCTTCTCTCTACAGTCCGAGAATGTTGTCATTGATCAGCTGGGCAGCAGCGACATGGCAGAATCGACCAAACCCCACCAAAGGAGTTACATCCCTTTCTTCTTGCTCAGACGTGCCCAGAGGGCGGGCAAGGGCGGGAGGAAGAGCAAGGTCACCAGGGCAGCAGAACTCCGGCAGACTGACGTGGTAAGTTCATTTTTTAAAAAAAAAATTTTTTTTTTTTTGGTTATTTCTCCCTCTCTTAATGACTGTCTTTGTCTCTCGCTTTCTCACTCTCTAGTTCTATTTCTTCAGTCTAAATACTTCGCTTGATCTGTCTCTCTGTTATCATCTATCTCGCTCTCTACCTATACATAGCTATCACTTTCTTTCTATATCTCTTGCGCCTGTGGGTTGTCTCTTTCTCTTATTCCACCCACCCACCTCCTCTCTCTCTCTCTCTCTCTCTCTCTCTCTCTCTCTCTCTCTCTCTCTCGATGCGTTAAATATTTAAACAGGTCGATCAGAGAAAGTTTACTAGATATATGTGACTGGTTGAGTAAATATAACAACTATCTGTGATATACACAAACAAAAAAGCATATGCACCAAAACCTGCATAAAGGGAAGAAATTCAGTTGTATATCAGATTCAATATTGCAGAGTTTGGGGGAGATGGCCAAACATATTCCAGTAAATCAAAAGGTGAGGCTGTGAGGCTGGTGCTGGATAGCGAGTATATTTCATAGAAACATGACTAGAACGTCCTGTGTTTAAAGTCCGTAGATCCAAACAAATTAAGGAACACCAATAACTCATGGAGAAGAGTGAGCAATCAAACTGAATAAGATGGGTAAGTTAAAGTGGTGACCTGACATTATGGTGAAGAACAGAGCGACGCCAAGAGACTTTTTTTTTTTTTTTCAGGTTTGTATTCAGTTGTGGGATAATATGACGAGAAGGAGAAGAGGAAAGAGGGGAAGAATGAACGAGGGCTGAACAATCATCAATCAAATAATAGATTGCTCAGTCAGTAAACTATGGATTACATGATAATATAATTCTCACCCGTATCAGGGTGTACTGACAATAGAAAGTTAACAGACACGAGCTCACCTTTATGTAGCCAAGCAGGTAATTTTTAAAGCAGTAAGCGACAGTGGTCTTTGCTTTCACAGTGAACCGGTGTCGATAAGAAAAAGGTCTGCCTGAAAAAGTTGTTCTAACAATCAACAATGCGCCAATGGACAATTTTTATTTAGTTTGTTTGTTTTGAGAACGGATTAACTGTTTTCCCGTAAGATGTAATGGTAATCTGAGTTTTGAGATACGAACGTTTCGAGTTAAGAAGAATCAGTCAGGAACGGATTAGGTTTGTATGCCGAGATACCGCAGTCAAGCAGGAATTAAGTTCGTATTTCGTATGTTGAGGTACCACAGTTAGGAAAGAATTAAGTTCGCATGTCGAGGTAAAGCTGTATATTTAAAGCTCGTAATATGACCACCTAACAAAGTCACATTTCAGATAGCGTCATCTAATAAAATAAAAATATAGCTTTATCCCTATATGCCCTATACGCCTTCAGTCGTGGAAGAGCGTCCTTTACATTTTTTACTTTTTACATCTAACAAAAGTACACCTAAGTGCGTCTACTGTATACCTAGCATCCAAACTCTACTGATGCAGTATTAAATTCGTTGGGCTGGTCATGTGGCACGCATTCCAGATCACAGGCTCCCAAAAAACTCTTCTATGGTGAGCTGCAAAATTGGAAACGTTCCCAAGGAGGGCAAAAGAAACGCTTTAAGGACACCTTGAAGTCTTCACTCAAAGCATTTGGGATGAATGACACCAATTGGGAGGCTGCCTCTCAGAACTGAAATGCATGGCATGCAGCTCTACACAAGGGCGCGGCTACATGTGAAGCAAACAGAACAGCAAGACTTATTAAGAAAAGGATGGACAGAAAGGTGACTGCAGGAGATCCCCTCCTTGGCACAATATTTATTCCCTGTTCTCACTGCCCAAGAACTTTTCGGGCCCGCATCGGCCCCATCAAACACGTTACCCGCTTGTGCAGTTCGACGTTTCTGAGACTGACAAACTAGTCCAGCTCATTCTGCCTCTCTCAGCAACGTTTGTTTTCATGGTTTTCTTTAACGTCCTTGTTCCCTTGCATCTACTATAATCGATGATTATATAAAATACTATCACCAAACAGTACGCAATGAAATAGCAACACAGTGTGTTGCCATAATTATAACCGGTATTGACTAACACGAGGCTAGCTCCAAAGCTAAAGGTTGAACTGAAATCAAATAAACGAAAGAAAATCGTTTGGCCATACAAGATTTACAGCATTTGTCAGCTTTGAATAGATTTAATCAACGGAGTCGCATTTCCACATCCCTTTGGGAATCAAATAAGAAAATGTTTTTAAAAAATGAGCCAAATATTTGGATAAATCCGAACGAAGGAAACAAATAATCGATATGCAATACCAGTGAGCATTCATCAAGTTTCAGCTTGTTGCCTTGACGTGTAAAGACAATGTATGGGTCAGCATAGGGGTGGTGGCTGGGTTAGGGGAGGGTGGTGTTGCATGCTAGCTCAGTTGCTGACACATTTGCCAGTTGTGCTGTGTAAATACCCAAACGACGAGTGAATGTCTTTAGTGACCTGCTGTCAAACTGAGTACAAGGAAATACTGTCAGAAGTCAAGCTTGTCGGCGTAAAATAATCAAATCGCCTGTGAAGTACCGAACTGTGTACACATTTATGGGCTTAACAACAATTCCCTCAATGCCCAAGTAGCATTGGTACCATGCTTTTTTTTTACTTTTGGTTATTGTCATGCTGTTTTGTAGCATTATATATGTTTTCTTCTCACGTAGGTGAGCAAGTCTGTGGACAGCCTACTCGCCGTCGCCTCCAGTATAAGCCTTCCTCCCAACGCTACAGTCCGCACAGATCTTCGCCCGGAGAGACACAGCCTTCAGCAGTTTAGCAGTCCCTCTAGCCTTAGTTCCTCCCCTTCAAACACCAGAATTAGACGACACTCCTATGGGTACACCGTTAACGACAAAAGCGAAGATTCCTCAGAGTTCTTTGACTGTCGGGACGGAGTTAGCGATGGTGATTTTACGTCATCAAGTCAGGAACCGTCACCTATTCGGTATCCAAGGGCGACAACAACAAACGAATCATCTGATAGTAGAGGAAGGCGACAAGAGCGTTTCGTCAAACGACAGTCCACTTTATCTTCTTTGGGGATGTCCACTGGTTTCGCCAGCGACCGGGACTCTGCGGATTCAGACATTGATGAGAAAAGCAGTCATGTTTTGGATCTAGACACGTCACTACTGGCCGGATCTGAAGATGACAGCTCTAGTTACTCGGAGTCGCCCACAATTACTGTACACACATCCCGAGCGAAGGTAGGAGAGAATATTATATTGTGTAGTATTAGTAGTACATTTTACCCCGCCAGGACATCACAAAAGATAAACACCTGATGACACAAAGTGCCACCATGTGGATGAGGATCACCAGTGGAGAGGTCCCAGAAACCGTGTTAAGCCGTTAGCCCATATTTATGGCCGGGCTATATTGCGGCCCCTGGCAAGAACCAAGGTGGGGCTTCAAAATAACGAAAAATTGCAATCCACAAGGGAATGACGATGATATATTATCTTGCGATATGCTTGACAGTAATGTTCATACCACCACCACAAGGACATACGGTTACTTCCTTATCATTGGGGTGTCCAAATGTACCGTGTATTTTTAGTGACTGAATTATTTTCTTTTTTGTTGTTGTTATTGTAAATATTGTCGTTCCTGTCTTTGTAATAGCCGTCTGTGGAATCAATACAGCATATACTGCTATAGTGTGTCTTATTTTGGGTACTGTTTTCCACATTACAGCTCCATTCACAGTCTTCTTCTTCCTCTTTGTTCACAAGCTGTAAGCTCCTGCGTAAAGTCGTGGTTGTTCGTCCATTTTGACTTTGGCTTCGTGCTAGGGTCAACTCCTATGACATGCCTGTTTAGGAGGCAGTTGGTCTATTCTTGTTTTCATCCCCCACGACGTTCTGTTGCGTCCAAAGCCAGCTTAAAGCTCTTTAAGCAGCTTCTCCCAGTTGTTTTAGTGACTTTTTACGCTTGTTTCCTCTCAAGCTCAGCTGCTTTAGCACACTGTATGTGGAAGTCGAGATAAGACCTCTTGCGCCTACCTCGACGACGAAGATTTTTGCTGTGTACGCTTCGTCTCTCCTCAGACCAGCCACGAGTTCACCGTAAGTTTTCGAGCTTGTACAGGCGATTTTCTTCCATCCGCGACTTGTACGGCACAGTCAGCCCTATTAGGATAATCTGGTGTTTTTCCGTAGAGAGCAGTACTATATCAGGTCTCAGGCCGGTCTTCCGAAACGACTATGGGTACTTTTCGGAACGAGGCAGGTCGACAACCAGTAACCAGTCCCTCGCACAGTCAAGTATTGATGGAGCGTATGCGACCTTGTTGACTTTACCTTTAGAAATCTGCCCAGCCTTGAGGAAGCGCATCAGGGAGACGATAAAACTGGTCCTCGCGTTGGCCCTCATCCTAGCTTGGTCTACAATGTCCGCTAGCTCTTTCAGGACTGTGTTGTGGCGCCAAGTATCTCGTACCTGGCCCAGAAGTATTTTGCACGCGGACAATAAGTGCTCGAGCGTCTACTTGGCTCTGCTTAGAGGACTTCTCGGGTCGGTGGTCGTAGACCACTTGGCCATGTTGGCGCCAGATAGTAATACATCAAAAGCAGATCTTATGAAAAATCTCTGCCACAGCATGGCCGTTCGCCAGATCTCACCCCAGTATTCGTGGCCAGACGCTCTCGAGGCCGATCCACTGGCCTTACTGCGACTGCTGGGCTGTTTTTTGGACCCTAACTTACTGTAATGCTCGAGCAGTCGTGGTGTAGTGGCTCGACGCTGGTCTGTGGATCTGAAGTTTGTGGGTTAAAACCTAAACGTATTCGGCTTTTTAAAAAAAAGACCTGGCTCTCAGGTCGATCAAACCTTTAATAGGTAAAGGGTAAAGTCTAGGGAAGTAAATATCACCCGGCATGATGTTGTCCACATCAACCACAGAGTGCTTACTGGTCTTTAAAATTTAGGCCTAGCCCTATATGCTAATACAGCTGACGGCGTGCAGAAGGGGCCTTTACATTGCTTACTTTATTACTGACCAGTAAGCTACTATAACGTCAAGCTCCATGTGTAAGAATCAGCAGTGATACAGCTTACATACTAGATTGTGTGTCATTGTGATTAACATTCAGCAGTAATGTCTTCTATACACACTATGTGTGTGTATAATATTCACCAGTAATGTAGTCTTGATTCGTCTTGTGTGCGTTACATTCAGCAATAATGTATTCTTGACCAACACAATACGTGTCTGCCATTCATAAATAATGTGTTCTTGACCCACACTATGTGTGTCCGACATTCGACAGTAATGTGTTCTTGACCCACATTATGTGTGCCTGACATTTAAAAATAACATATTCTTGACTAGACTATGTGTGTCTGACATTTAACAATAACATATTCTTGACTAGACTATGTGTGTCTGACATTTAACAATAACATATTCTTGACTAGACTATGTGTGTCTGACATTTAACAATAACATATTCTTGACTAGACTATGTGTGTCTGACATTTAACAATAACATATTCTTGACTAGACTATGTGTGTCTGACATTTAACAATAACATATTCTTGACTAGACTATGTGTGTCTGACATTTAACAATAACATATTCTTGACTAGACTATGTGTGTCTGACATTTAACAATAACATATTCTTGACTAGACTATGTGTGCCTGACATTTAACAATAACATATTCTTGACTAGACTATGTGTGTCTGACATTTAACAATAACATATTCTTGACTAGACTATGTGTGCCTGACATTTAACAATAACATATTCTTGACTAGACTATGTGCGTCTGACATTTAACAATAACATATTCTTGACTAGACTATGTGTGCGTAACATCCAGCATTAATGCATTCTTGACCCCACACTATGTGTACCTGACATTCAGCAATAATGCATTCTTGATTATACTGTGTGTGTCAAACAGTCAACAGTGATATAACCTGCAGACTAGATTTATATCTGATGTCTGACCTACAGCAATAATTCATTCTTGACTAGACTACGTGTGTCTGACATTTAACAATAACATATTCTTGACTAGACTATGTGTGTCTGACATTTAACAATAACATATTCTTGACTAGACTATGTGTGTCTGACATTCAAAAGTGATACATTCTTGCAGACTAGAAATTGTTTCTAGTAGTCATTTCAACTTCCCGTCCCCAAATCGCAACACACCAAAGGGGCACTAAACAATCGCCTAACCAACGTTTGTGCAAAAACATTTGGAAAAATTCATAATCCATTTGCATGCGCTGCAGTTCGTTTACCTCCATCCAACACAAATGGGTTTTTCCCCCCTTCAGACAAGGATAACCCAGTTTAGAAGAGTTATTACACTATTTGGCAAAATGAAGGCACATACAGACATCGTGTCGTTGTGGAATTCCCCTTTTTCCGGTTTGTTTCTGTTTTTGTTTTGTTTTGTTTTTTTGTTGCTTGTTGTATTTTCTAGTTTTACCCTTTTTCATGTTTACCTTCTTTCAGCTTATTTGTGTGTGTGTGTGTTTTCCTTTTTTTTTTTTTTTTTTTCGATGAATATTTATGAAGTTGCATTACACGCATTTATGATCTGGAATACCCCTGTTGGCGCTATCACATTTTTGCCAACTGGAATAAGCAATATTCCCTTTCTTCAACTTTTAGAAAAGATAGTGGGCGTGATATTACCCTTTACTTTTTTGTAGCTTTAAGTAAAGGTGGTCGGCGTGATATTAACTCTTTATCTTTCTTCAAATTTAAGTAACGGTGGTCGGTGTGATATTAACCCTTTATCTTTCTTCAACTTTAACTAAAGGTGGTCAGCGTGATATTAACCCTTTGCCTTTCTTCAACTTAACTAAAGGTGGTCTGTGGCATATTAACCCTGTACCTTTCTTCAACTTTAACTAAATATGGTCGGCGTGTTATTAACCCTGTACCTTTTTTTAACTGTAACTAAAGGTGGTCAGTGTGATATTAACCCTGTACATTTCTTCAATTTCTACTTAAGATGGTCAGCGTGATATTAACCCTTTACCTTTCTTTAACTTTAACTAAAGGTGGTCAGCATGATATTAACCCTTTACCTTTCTTCAACTTTAAATTAAGGTGGTCAGTGTGGTATTAATCCTTTACCTTTCTTCAACTTTAAATAAAGGTGGTCGGCGTAATATTAACCCTTCACCTTAAAATGTTACTAAAGGTGGTTGGCGTGATATTAACCTTTTACCGTTAAACTTTTACTATAGGCGGTCGGCGTGATATTAACCTTTCACCTTTAAACTTTTACTAAAGGTGGTCGGCGTAATATTAACCTTTCACCTTTAAACTTTTACTATAGGCGGTCGGCGTAATATTAACCCTTCACTTTAAAATGTTACTAAAAGTGGTCGGCGTGACATTAACCCTTTACCTTTGAACTTTCACTTAAGGTGGTCGGCATGATAGTAACCCTTTACCGTTAAACTTTCACTAAAGGTAGTCGGCGTAATATTAACCCTTCACCTTTGAACTTTCAAAAAGGTGGTTGGCGTGTCAAACCCTGTCGAATACTCTTCGGTCTATAAAAAATATAAAGTCCAGTAACATAGGCCCGATATCTCTGCCATTGCCGGTCCCAAGCCCTGATGGAGAAGAAGAAGGGTCGGGGATAGCCGCCTCCCCCCCCCCTCCCCTCCCCTAACATGTTTTATTGAGAAAACAGTGACGTCCAAAAGAACCCCCCCCCCCCCTCTCTTCCCCAAAAAAATTTTTTTAGGGGTCAAAGGTACTTTAACGAAAACTTTAATTTGATTTCATTTTTATTATAACAGATCCAGAAAATGTTGATGTAGAAACTATTGTTATAAGAAAATGTGAAATTGATTTCTAAAAATGGAGATTTGTGCTTGCCAGTTCTCTCTCTCTCTCTCTCTCTCTCTCTCTCTCTCTCTCTCTCTCTCTCTCTCTCTCTCTCTCTCTCTCTCTTTCTCTCTCTCTCTCTCGCTATATATATATATATATATATATATATATATATATATATATATATATATATATATATATATATATAATCAGATAAACCCTCTTTGCATGTCAGAAGTGGGGTGGCATCTTTAAAAGATTACCACCGTGTTAGTCTGCATCGTGCTTAATATTCTTGACATCCTTGACAATAACAACAGGTTACAAAACAATTTTATAGTTGTAATTTTTATCACAATTTTAGGTTTACATTTTAGAGACCCATTGTGTGAGTGTGTATGTATGTTTGTTGGTGGCTATAGCTTAGAGTTACGAATGTGGTTCATAACTCCGAGATACCCAGTTCCAT